AGCAAGTGAGGTCATTTATAGAAACGTCATCTTCCCAATTACACATGACAATTGTAAAAGGAGAATTTGTCTATTTGTACCGGTATAAAATTTTATTAGTTATTTTACTTGGTGTTAAAACATATAGGTCTATAAGTTCTTCAAGCGATCTATGTCTTCAAACTGCCTAGTCTTGAACGATTCATTCACAAGTAATGATGCATCTTTCATGGCATATTTAGATTCACACTCCGCGTTAGTTAATTATTAATTAAATAAAAATTAATTAAAAATTAAATAATAATAATAATTAAAAATTAATTATTAATTAAGTTAATTATTAATTAAGTTAATTTTTCTCACACAAGAATATTCATAGACAGTGAAATGTATATATAATGTCTTCTTGATAGGTTGTTCATGAAAGACGCTAGTTTTTTTGCACATTTTCTCATTTATGGAAAAAATGCCCTACTGTGCTTGTCATGTCCGTCCGTCTGTCCGTCCGTGACTTAACGTTTTCGTCGACGATAAAATGCGCTCCCTGTCACTCACTGCAGTGAGTAGTGAGTTATATTTTTTGCTCTCGCACAAGATCTTTTTGATCTGCAGTCTTTCACCTTTTCGTGCGACTGTTCACCACTGTTACTTGGCTGAATCTGACGCTCTGTACGGTTACATTCTTCACGGCCAGAATGTGTGGTTTGATTCACTGATTAATGCTCATTGAGAATGTGTCGCTGCAGGTCAGGTACTGACTTGCAGGAGCTAAGTTGCTATCAGATTTGAACGCTGAACAAGAAAGTCTGCGTGGCGAGAGCTGGACGATCCAGGAATGCCTTCGCTGTCACCAGCTTCAGTAATTAAAACACGCTTGATATTCGGTGGGGTGGCGATGTTCCCGCTAGAAGTTTACTGCTACCTGCAAATCGATCCTCAGAATCTATTCTTTGAACTTCACGCCTCTTACAACTCGACCATGATGACACGGCCATAGCTTTCTTTCTTATCAATTCAAGTATGATGCCATCCGACTATTAAAAATTTAGTAACATCTAAAATATCCAACCGTGTTTCTATGTGATTTTGAGTGAATATTTATAATGAGCATATTAATAATGGAATCGCCGTTGTTTCTATACTAGGTACCTACCTGGCGATGAAATTGTCTAGTTGCGGAAGTAACAAAACCATTCAGCAACCATTCAAAACGTCTCCTTCATACACAAAATGTATAAGTACAAATAATTCGTTACTAGTATAGAGAGCGATGGATCAAATGCCGAAAGACAATGAAAGATATTACAAGGTAACCTACTAATATTGCATTCGCAATGACCTAACCCTGCCAATAAGACCAGAAGTCAGAAGCTACGGCAGCAGCGCGACGCTTACGAAAATACGAACCCAAACGATGGAAGATAAATGAAGATTGGACGAGAAACCTGTTCAGCTTTCTGTCTTCAAGTAATTTATGAATCTTGCACTGTGGAAAAACTATGTAAAATGTAATTTTTCTTTTCATAAATTAATCTGAAACGCATTCAATCCACCGACAGCGTCTGTAGTAGCTTGACTGGAAATTCCTCTGCCAACAAGAGATAATCAAGAAAAATAAATGTGTACGCTCGAACATATCTTTATTGCAAACCAAATATGTGTATTATGGATACACATTGCAGTTTAATTGAAATTAATATATACTGGATTAAATATGGAATATTAAGAATACTCAGTCAGATCATATAAAGGTAAATTAAGGTATAAAGACAAATACTTTTCTCAAGAAATATTCGTAAATTGTGCAAATTTTAGATCACAAATGTAGGCAATACGCTGGCAGCAATTTGACGGAACTTCGGATAAAAAAATCACATGAAAAACATTTAGAGATGAAACGACAGCTCTGGTGGGAAAGATCCCACATTTTAGCATCAATTTTTTGTATTTCCCAACTTTTTTAGGAGTAAATCTGTAATGATATTCGTGAACAGAAGATTATTTTTTCAAGCTAATTCAGTAAGATTTTCGTACTAAATATATTCCACTGTATAAAACGGATTAAAAAGACTTTAAAAGTAATTTGTCAAAAATCTCAATAAAAGTCTCAAAGGGAATTAATTCATATGTGACATGGGAACTTTGTTCTTGATTTAATTTTCTCCTAAAACATGTTGATCTATAGCGACTTAGGCATTCCTAGCCTTAATTAGGCTTTAATGAAAGATGAAAACCCTCGCCAACAGATGAAAGTCAATAAGTGATATATACTGAACAGTAAATTATGTTACTGAGGACGCAGTAACGAGGTTCTAATGATGGATGATCGCTATGAAAACGTTAAAGTTAAAAGAGAATTATTGACAGAAGCACGTTTAAACTTGCGGGCTGGCACGGGGCTCCTCCGCGGGGTGCTTATCAGCAACGTGACGAATTAGACGAAGTTCTGATAGATATGAATTATCGCACTGCGAGCAACGAAAAAAGTATATTTTTTTATGTTTGGAGAGAACATGTTTCTCTAGCCGTTCTTTGACCACACAAGAATAATTACACTCGGCGCACTGAAGAGGTCTCTCAGATGAATGAATGTAAAGAATGTGCCTTTTCATATTGCTTTTTATGACACAACTGTATTCACACATTGAACACTTGATAGGTTTCTCCATTGAATGTTTATGGAGAACGTGAATCTTCAAGTTTGATTTTATGTCGGTAGAATATTCACATTCCATGCAGCGATGCGGTCTCTCTGTTGAATGCATACGGAAAACGTGTTGATTTAACTGTTTTTTACCGACACATGAATATTCACACTGCGCGCACACTAATTTCTCCTTTTTGGTATTTTCTGGAAGAACGTTAGTTTTCAATTCTTCCGTTCTCGCGCAAGAACTACCTGGTCTGCAGTTGACTACCTTTTCGCGCGACTTTTCACCACTGTTACTTGGCTGAATCTGATATTCAGCACTGCTGAATTGCTCACGGCCAGAATGTGTGGTTTGATTCACTGATGAATATGAATGCTCATAGAGGCGGCGCCGCTGCAGATCAAAAGATTCAGTAATATATTCGGTGCGTGGCTTGGGGCTGGACGATCCAGAAACACAATCTCTATCACCAGCTTCATCTGGAGCTCCTTCAGATGTTGATAACTCTCCGCTGCCGTGCTGGTAACAGAGACAAAAATACATTTTTATTAGAAAAAAAGTCTACTATGCATACAACAAAACTTCTACTATACAACAACTCAATAAGCCTTCCAATACTATTAGTTATTGGTCACTGATTGGACTGCTTCGAAACTGCATTTTCCTATTTCCAACCGTTTTAGTCGTTATGAACCGTTCATGAATTCTTATTATGATTTAGTAGCAAAAACAAAATTTACTACGTTTATGACATAGATTGGTCCAGGTTCTACGATTGATGCATTTAAAAAAGTTAAAATATTCTAGAAAACTTCCAAATTGTTTAATTATCATTGAGTTTAATTAGCTTGTATATCCACGCAATTTTCACATAAATCTAGTAACTATGAAGTCAATGATAGTATCGTTGAAGGAACGAGCACGGCGCAAATGTTAAACCATCAGAAATACAGCCACTGTCGCAGCAGCAGCTTACAGCATCGAGCTGAGAGTATTACAAGTGAAAATTAACCACCACGGCTTCATGCAATATTATAGCCACGACACGGCTACTTTAGGAACAGTACGGCCGTTTTTACGAAGTTCGTGATCGATACGGTTATACGTCGTACTTTTCTAGGTAATCGCACAACAGATCAGCGTATTAACGTAAAATTCCTCAACGCGAAAAGAGAATAAAAATATTCAATTCCGATGCAATTGTTTCAAGTTTTTGTTTAGGAGAATTAGAAGTGATGAGGTGCTGAAGGCTTTGTATCAAACATCGAATCTATAGGTACACGTATCTATGTTTTTTTGTAATTGAGTTATTGTTTAATCGAGCTGCGTCTTCATTTATGAAGTTTTATTTACATGTAAGTAGTGCTTAATTTCGATCCCCATATTCTCTAGCTGACGTTGAATATAAAGAAACGAGTATATATAATAATATATTACAAAGCCCATGAAAGCAGACAGTAGAGTCAATTTCTAGCTGCGTTTAGCATTGTATTTTCGATTTTCCGTAAATTAATTTTCTAATTCCAATTATAAATTTGTGTTCGAACTACCTTCTAGTCAAAGTGGAACCACGGACGAATTAGCATAATGTACTCCCATCGGGACGCCTGCCAAAGGCCACCACTGCCCTGGATGTAATGGATCATGATTCATGCCTTCCGGAACGTAGCATTCAACACTTCTGGACAATCATATACATACAGGCCGTGCGTATAACCAGCCCCCGGTCGAAGGGCCACTCGTCGAAGGACGATAAATGTTGGAACAGAACTATGCTATCTGAAACCTAACCTCAGATGCGGTGAACGTAAAATTACGTAATTCAACGATGCTCGGAAGTCATATTTGAGCCGCGGTCTGGCGGTGCACGGCAGGTTTTATGCAAGTGCCGAGGAGGACAAAGCCGAGTGGTTCACGGCTGATTGGTGGATGTCCGGATAGATCCAAGGCGTTCGATTAAGGGCTAATTGGTGCAAAAAATTGGTGGTGCAAGGCTGCCCTCCCCTCCCATCAATGCAAGAAATTACAAGACAAAATGAAATAATTGACGACTTGAGCGCTCCTCAAGATCTGTCGGAAGCCGCGAGTTAATCAGAAGATTCTTAATTTGGTAGTTTGAATGCACTGTGTTTTTATTCAGTGAATTAATAATATCCGTTTATTCAACCATACAATCATTACGCGGGCAACAAAAAGCGTTTAGTGTTTTGAGTCTTCGTAGTGTGAATCAGAGTTAACTGATAAGAGTGACTTCTGCACTAGGTAAGGTGTTCACTGTTTATCCTACTACATCATAGCCAAAACCTGTATGTATAACTGAGGAGATGAAAAACTTTAAGAGTGTCCTTATCAGACGAGATACTAATGTGTGGGTATGATAGTTAGCGTTCAAAATTAAGACAGGATAGATTTCTGACTATACCATGTGTACTTTTTCATTTACGTCATCTTCTTCCGACAATTGTTTTAAATCCCATCGACTGTCTTCAAGAAATTCTCACCTGAATCTGTGGGGTCTGGAGATTGAGCACAAGCTTTTGCGTCTCAACAATAAATTGAAATCAAAGCGTCGTTTCACATAATTCAGTAGTTTAGTCATAAACGAAAGCATAACAAAAAAGGCAGAGAGTATTGTCATGATCTCAATCTCGAATACGCGCCTCAGCCATGTTGCGCTCCTTACTATCGAATAACCAATTAGTTTAGTTTAGTGGCCACATGTTTACTGGCGATTCAGTTATTTAGCTATCTCGCACCGGAAGTCAAGATGAATATCACCAAAGTGTTGGAAGGTCTCAATTATCGAAAGTTTCTCAAATCAAAAATTGTTCATCACCCACAAGGGGCGGAAGGTCTCAGTTATCCAGTCCGCTGAAGCTGGTTCGAAGGAAGCAGCGTTATCCTCTCAAAGAGACAAAGTGACAAGGAGAGACAGGTGAAAAGCAAAAGAAACGAAGACACTCAAACATGAGGTCGCTTACACGGGGCATCGGCCGCCCGCACGAGAGCGACAGAGAAGGGAAATGTAAGGAATCCTACCTACATAATAACTTAACCCCACAACTGAGACCTGCAGTCAGACACCGCGAGCTCAGCGGTGGGGCGCTCAGGAACAATCCCCCTTATAGGAGCGCGAAATCCCAGGACTTCTGACGATCGTGTTACTTTTCGAATGATTTCTTATTGAAATACTTTGCTCACCTCCAGCTCTGGCATAGCAGCATTAGCTGTCCCTCGAGAGGTGCTCGGTTCATCGCACCACGCCGTCAGAAATGGGGCACCAGATTTATCTTCCATCAGATTCTGCCTTACTTCGCAATCGTTGACTGCACGTGATATGATTTTATTTTCTACTTTGATCTGGCATATATGAAATTGTATTGATTATTTCAAAGTCAAGTGTTACCCCAAACAGTGCATGGAAAAAATAAACTCGTTGCTTAGACTTAGAATGAACTTAAAAAATATCATCGAGCTCGTTTGCATAGTCGTAGTCGACAAGTTTAGATTTATTGCCAGAATATGCGAAGCCCAAATAAACAGTTCTATACGACGACCAATGAAGGCTTTAAGATAACAGAAAGTAATGTTTTGGGTATTATTTTCATTTGTACATCTCTGAGCCTGAGATATATATTAATGCAGCCACACCATTCATGTCTACGGCAAATTTTTCTTCAATAGCAGCAGTTTTGCACACCCGGACTATTTAAACATTTTTGAAAGCTAAATAATTTATTTAACTTTTATTCAGGCTTGAGGATTCGTCTAGTCTGCATTTTTTTTTTAATTTTGTAATTTTCACTAAATTTGTTTAATGAACCGAAGTAGCCAAAATTTTGGGCGACCTCAGCGGAATATTGAAGCTGTTCAGACAATACCACGATTCCATATGCGTCGCGTAGCATCCAGCTTCAAATTTAACCCAACCACGCAAGATGTTCGTGCAAAGCTCGAAACTTCATCTGCTCTGCAGCCACACTTTACCTGGCTAGTAATTCCACCATTTATTATTTTGGAAGCCTAAGCATAGTCCGTTGCACTAACATAATTATTTTATTAAGGGGCGGCATTTACATCACATGGAAAAGTCGAGAGATTCGTAAACAAAGAATGAAATACCATAAAACTTGTATAATGGACCACATCAATGATTTTTCACGAGCACAGCCCAAGCCTTCTCTGCAGCCGACGATAGTGACGTGGGGATGACGTAGTATGCTCCACTCGTGACACCAACGATGGCAAACGCGGCTATGGCTTCAGTACTAATCTTTTTCTACATGTTACTAGACCAATTATTAATTATAATTACTAATCGATATGTAGTTAAAATTTTCCACGAATTTTTCACGTGAATTTGAAATGTACTTATGTTTCACGATTTTTCTTCGAATCAAAAAGTTGATCGTCTTAAAGTCTACAGGCACAGATAACTAATTTCGAAATTGTTACATAACAGTGTAAATGAAGTAATCCAACACTTCAACATACAAAACTTCAACAAGAACAAATTGCATAGCTCTTCCGGCAGCTGTGTGCCTGGTCATCTGATTCTTCATCGTCGTTGCCGAGTTGATTAAGTTAATAAATTCCGCTCGGTGTCTGATCGTTAATGTTTTGCTAGCTGCTTTTTGGTCTAGGTTTCGTATGTTGAATGCGAAATTATTTTTTTAGCAATTCATTGAGATAATGTCATAATTTCACATAATTATTTTTCGAATTTAGGTAATGATCTCGCGCGTAAAACTAACATGACCAGAAATATTCAGTCACACAAATAATCTTTTCCGGGGAAGTTGACGCATGTTCTAATATATCAAGTTTTATGTTATTTTGGGGGTGGTGAATTCAAATGGAAATTTAGTATTACTCATCATCTCTCATTTCTTAGATGTGCATATTTGGCAAGAACCGTATCACTGCTACGGTGCACTCAGTAACAGAAGATATGCTTTCTCGTGTGTGGGGGCGAGCTTGGCTAGCGTTTAGATGTTTGCCGTGCAGCACAAGGGGGACATATTCAACATTTATAAATGTGTTTAAAATGTGGATATTTCTCTTTCTATTGGTGTATAAATAATTCATGGTTAGTTCATACTTAAACAATTCCGAATTTTTTAAATTGAGTCCATTATATAGAATAATCCTGTACTATAAAACTTCGAACTTTAGGCCGAACTTTAGCGCCTATGGAACCATACTGTACTAAGACGTAGTACATTAATAAATTTCCTTCGAAAGTAGCGGAAATATTTTATAGTTTTTTTAAGGTTTGCTATTTTTTATATATCTAGTATCAAAACATATTCCCTAATTTTATTAGATAATGAAATATCAATATACCAGAAAACCTATTGTTTTACACAGTTTAGGTGCATCATGCACTAAGTTCTACCAAAGACACCCATGACGACGTTCATATTTTCTACGAGAGTCACGTAGAAAAAGATTTTTGATCAGCAACATAAGCAAAACGAAAAATTAATGCCCAAGATATATTGGAACTGAAATAATTCGTTCAATATATGTTCATATTTGTGTTCATCAGTAAGACAAGCCTTTATATCAAATTAACACACAGCTCATTCTCGGATAGCTTGCCTTCTTGTGTCTGCAATTTCCTGAGCAGACTAGCGGGGCTCCAAGCCTGTATTCGGGTTCAATGAGTATTGAGTAGCAAGTCTGTCTTCCAGATCCATGTTAATTGCTTTAGCTTGCCATGAAATTAATTTAAAATCTATATCGGATCACTGATATTGAAAAGAGATTATGCCTGTTATTTTATACAATATTCAGGTGATATATATATCGCTTATTTCGAAGTGAGCAAAAGTATGGAAATGAAATCTGCATTCCATCTGCAAATGCGATTAATTAGTGCTTTTACTTTAAAAACTTAGTACATTTTGTACGGGGGTGAGTCTGCTGCCTGGAATATCGGACGAAAATAATCTTTAGGATATTTTGTTGATGGTGATTGTATATTTTTGACGTCACTCGCATGAGTGACCTGCTAATCTCATACGAATGAATTAACACATTGGGTGTCTTAAACACACACAATGCATTTCAAGAGCTACATCAGGCGTTTCAAGAGATCCATCATACATCACATCACACACATCGGGCGTGTCATGAGACCTATATGGTATATGATATGTGGTATATAGTATATGGTGGTAATACTTCTAGGCCCTGAGACTAGCATCGTGGGTGCTATGACAAAGCATTTATAATCTAGTTAATGGACATAGATTATGATCGATGTAAACGAAAACTTTTAAACCATTACTCCACACAAACGATGTTTCAAACACGTATTATAGACAATTTAGGCTCAAGTAGAAAATTACCTGGGAATTCAATAACAACAAATTTCCAATACAAATTAGTGACATTTTAATGAAACTTTTCAGAGCGCAGCTCCTTCATTGAAAATTTTCAGCCAATTAAGTGTAATATACCTGAACTATTAGCAAAAAATAATTGAGTTGCGAATCAATGTTATCTCTTATCATTAATTATATAATTGAGAACAATCATTATTTATTCTTATATACCTCAATATTTGTACTAAGAAAGCAATAAAGAAATATCCAATATTGGTGTCTTCTCTAATTTCTCGTTTCATTGGTCAAATGACTCAATAACCTCTTACGTGAAGCTTTAATCTTAACATTTGCTCATACCTAACGTATTTAATTTTTTAATTGATGATGGAGCTGAGTTATAAAAAATTTCAATTAAAATATAATGAATTTATCAGCATTTTCTCTACTGGCCTAAACTCGATATTTCTCTCTAGCTACGGCCGCATGTAAGGTCACTCTTAGGAGTGACGTTAAAAATAAGAAACAAGAAGTGACAAGAATATTTAAGGGACACATTTCGTCCGATGCTGGAGACGCGAAATCACGCACGGAAAAAGTTTAAATAGTTATCCATAGTAGTTATCGAATTATACTCTCCACATTCAGGAAACTGATAAACAGTTTAAATACAATTTATCCCATAATTTTTAATAATTTATCACGATAATTTTTCAACTCATTCCTGAGAAAATCGGTATTTTCTCGGTAACTCTAGTTTCAAAACAAATTTCATAATTTTATAATATAATGGTATATCAATATACTAGAAAACCAATTGTTTTGAACAGTTTAGTAATCCATAATGTTTTATCTTCTACCGAAGATACCCATCATTGCGATAATATTTTCTACGGATGTCACGTTGAAAACGATTTTTAACAATAACACAAGTAAAACGAAAAATATGTACCCAAACATATCATAATTGAAATAATTCGTTCTAATCAGAAAGTCGAGCATTTATATCAAATTACCATTCAGCTCATTCTCGGATAGCTTGCCTTCGTGCATGTCTGAGCAGACCAGCGGGGCTCAAAGCCTGTATTCGGGTTCAATACAATAGCAGTAATTCAGTGTTTGGGAAATATCACAATTACTGAAGTTGGCCATACAATTTATTAAAAAAGCTATATAGGAACATTGAAGCTGAAAATGAATTGTGTTCATCAGTTCATTTTTTCATCACAATATTGTTCATCATTTCATTCATTTGAGTGAAATTTTAGGAGGTACATGGATGATTCATCTCTTAATGCAATTAGTTAATGCTTTTACAATAAAATCTTAGATTAATTTCTACGGTCGTAAGTCAGCTTACCACAAGTTTGTCTTCTTCTTCTTTAGATATTTTTGACGTCACTCGCATGAGTGACCTAATAATCTCATAGTCTCATAGAAAAGATTTAACTGTGGTGACCTACTAATCTCATTGAAAAGATTTAACTGTGATAATATCTAGGATGAACCCTGAGAATAGCATCGTTGGTTTTATGACAAAGCATTAGTAAGCAAGTTAATGCACATAGATTATGATCGATTTACACGTAAACTTTCAAAGCATTACTCTATACACACGAAGTTTCGAGCAAATATTATGGACAACTGAAGCTCGAATCAAAATTACGCAGGAATTTGATGAAAAAACTGCTAATATATATTCATATTTTAATTAAACGTTTCGAAGTCATGTTCCCTCTTCATCTATAAATTTTAATCAATCAAGTGTAATATACCTGAATTATTACCAAATAATACTCGAGTTGTAAATCAATATAATCTTTTATCAATAATTATATCAGTGATAACAATCGGTATTTATTCCGATATACATACCTCTGTTTTATGCCCAGTATAGTAAATAGTAAGTAACGAGAAAGCAAGAAGAAAAGACCCAGATTAATTTCTTCACTAATTCCTCTTTCCATTAGCTAATTTGCTCAATAACCTCTTTATTTAATTTAATCATAATAATTTAATCGTAACCGTTGCTCACGCCTAACTTATTTCATTTTTTAATTGACGATGGAGCTGATTTATAAAGCTTTTTCAATTAAAATA